TCGGAGCGCGTGCACTTAACCACCAAGCCACGGGGCCGGCCCTCTAGGGTATTTTTCTAGGATAGATTCCTGAAAGAGGAATTGCTGGGTCTTATAACCCAGTATATGGAATCTTTAACTTCACTAGACATTTCCAAATTGTTCTCCACGTCTTTGCCAACATGCTGCCTAAACAGACTTTTAAACCTTTTCATGATCTGATGAATGTGATAAGTTATCTTGTAAAAATTGTTCCTTCAGAAGTTTTCACTGTTTGTATTTCTTGAAAAATGCTGCTGGTTTCATTTTCCTTTCCCTGATTAATAATATGTTTTTGGCCTTTCGTGTTTATTTTTCTATAAATATCCTATTTGTGTCCTTTGCCCATTTTTCCATTGTTTTGTTGTTATCAATATGTAGGAGTACTACATCTTTGTTATATACCTTTTTGTTTTATGTTGGTGACTTCTTTTAACAGAGTTTTTAAAAAATTTAATTGTGTCTTTTCCTTTATGCTTTATGTTTTTTGTGTTGCTTTTCCTGTCTTGTTGAATAAATCATTCTTTACCTTCATGTCATTAAGCTCTTCTCCCATGTTTTCTTCTAAAAGTTTAAGGTTTACTTTTCGCATTTAATTCCTACATCCGTCTAGATTTGATTTAGGGACTCGGAGATTCAGGCCTAACTCTGTCTTTTATCATATGAATACCCAATTGTCCCACCATTGTTTGTTGAATATGGCATCTTTTTTGCTTATTCATAATCCTGCCTCTCACATAAACCAAGTGCCATATCTAGGTTTGTTTCTGGGCTTGCTTTCTGTCACTGCTCTGTTTACCTTTTCCTAAAGTGGTGCTACACTTTTAATTACTATAGCTTTACAATAAAGTTTCCCCTGCCACTTGTGGTTCTTCAAAATTGCATTGACTTATTTTTTTTTACTCTATCAATATCAAAATTAACTTCTAGAATTGTATTGCTTGGTAGATTTGTGAGAATAAATTTCCTTTTGAAAATAACCTTTATTGAAATACAGTATACATTCAAAAACATGCACAAATCGTTAAGTGTACAGCTTAGTGAATTTCCACAAAGTGTACCCACTCAAGTATCCAACACCCAGATCAAGATAGAACAATAGAATGGAAATAGAACATATTCTAAAAGCTCCTCTTGTAGAGTAAGGGAGGTCCTCCCAGTAACTACTTACTCCCAAAAAGATAATCACTATTCTAATTTCTTTTACCATACATTATAATTTTGCTTGTTTTTGAGCTTTATATAAACAGAGACATACAATATATACTCTGTGTCTGACTTCTTGTGTATTTTTTGCATGTAGTTTATTTCCATTGTCATAGAGAATTTCATTGTATGACTGTATCACAATTTATCTGTTCTACTAGTGATAAACATTTAAGTTACTTCCAATTTAGGGATATGTGTACTGCCACGAACACTCTTCTACATGTTTTTGGGCATACATCCTATACATTTCTGTTGGACATAGACCTAGGAGTAGAATTGTTCAGATATGTCTATTTTCAGCTTTAGTAGATTCTGCAAAACAGTTTTCCAAAATAGTGTGCAATGTACGCCCCTTCCCCCCAACAGCAGTAGATAAGAATTCCAGTTGTTCTACATCTTTGCCAAAGCATAATATTGACAGTTTTTTTTTTTAACTTTAGCTATTGTGTACTTGTGAAGTGATGTTGTTTCTTTATGATTTGATTGCATTTTCTTAATGAAGTTGAACATCTTTTCATGTGCTTTTTGGCCATTTGTGTATTTTCTTTTGTCATGTTATTTTAAAATTTTCTTGACCATTTTTCTTGCGGTTATCTTTCTTTTGATTTGTAGGAGTTCTTTATGTATACTGGATTCAGGTCTTTGGGAAATACATAATACGTATATCTTATGTTCTGTAGCTTTTCATTCTCTTAATGGCATCTTTTGATGAATAGAAGTTCATAATTTTAATATACTCCAATTTTTCAATCTTTTCCTTTATAGTTAATTGTGATTTGTGATCTGTTTAAGAAATCTTCTGTCTACTCCAAGGTCATATATGTTACTATCTAATAACCTCATTGTTTTTCCCTGTCTTTCAAATCGATAATCCACTTGGAATTGATTTTTGTTTATGATGTAAGTTAGGAAATCAAGATTTTTATTTTTCTGTATGGATATCCTTTTGACTCAGCACCAGTTATTGGCAAGACCATCCTTTGTCCTCTGTGCTGCAGTGTCACCTTTGTCATAAATCAGTGACAATCTGATTGACAATACACGTCAATCTGTTTCTGGACACTATTCTATTCCACTGGTCTATTTGTATGTCTTTGGGCTAGAATCACACTAGTTTAATTATTGTAACATTACAGTATTGAGCCTTCTAGTCTATGAACATAGTATATTCCTTCATTTAATTAGGTCTTCCTTAATTTCTTTCAATAATGTTTTGTAGTTTTCTGTATAGAACACTTGCTCATTTTTTAGATTTATTTCTAGGTATTTGATTTCTTTTGATACTGTGGTAAATTATGTCCTTAAATTTTTTTATTTTTAATTACTTGTTACTAAACTGTAGAAATAAAGTTGACTTTTGAATACTGAATTTATACACAAAGATCTTGCTAAATTCATTTATTGATTCCAATAATTTTTATAGATTTCTTTAGATTTTCTGGGAACACAATCATGACATATAGAAATAATGATAGTTTCATTATTTTCTTTCCAATCCTTATATCTTTTATTTCATTTTCCTGCATTTTTTTAATGCATGAGTATTGAATTTTATCAAATGCTCTTTCTATGTCATTGGAGATCATCATATGAATTCTCTTCCTCATTCTGTTGTTGTGGTGAATTACATTGATTTGCTTTTGAATATTAAACCAATCTTGTATTCCTTAAAAACTCTAAATAATTTATATATCCTTGGATTGACTTCTTAATATTTTATTAAGGAGTTTTTGCGTTTATATTTATGGATGAAATTGGCCTGTAATTTTTCTTTCTTGCAGTGTTCTTGTCAGGTTTTGGTATCAAGATTATGGATTATGTTGGCGTTCTGAAATGATTTGGGAAGAATTTACTCTCCTTCTATTCTCTAGAAGAGTTTTTGTAAGATTGGTGCTATTTCTTTCTATGTTTGCAAGAATTCAATGGGGAAGTTATCTGGGTTTGGAGCTTTTCTTGTGGAAGGGCTTTTAAATTACAGATTTAATTTCTTAGTAAACATAAGATTATTCAGACTTTCTATTTCTTGTCATTTTTGCCAGTTTTAAAAAAGAAATCTGTTCCTTTTATTTAAATTTTCAATGGGCTTATTATTTTTAATCTCCGTAGGGGAATTCATTTTATTTTAATCACTAGTTTCATCATTCTATTCGTATCAAGCTTCTTTCCTTGTTCTCACTGTGCCAAGAAACATAGATTCACTCAAATTCCTTCAAATAATGGAGATTCATGAGGCTCAAATTCCTTCAAATAATGCAGATTCATGAGGCTCATTATAAAGCCACATGTAACCATAAGAGAAAGAAATTGCACGGGAAGAACGACCTCTAGCACATTTTGGCTTTAGGGAGACTGGAAATGTATGGTTAATTATGATATTGGACAGCTTTAGTGATGGAGCAGGTTTTCTTTTTATCTCCTCAATACTAAGACTTTACAGTGTTTTACTTTGATACCGCATTGTTTGCATGAAGTTTCTCTACTCCATGGGGCTCTTCTCTATATTTTCTTCCTCTTCGTTGCTAACTACTCTCTTTACCCGCTGCTCTATAATAACTTTTGTTTCCTTATAATTCCTTACTCATGGTCTCCAGTGCCTTATGACCTCATTCTGTTTTTCTTCAACCTCTGCCCCAGTTACCAGCTGATTGAACCTCTCTGTGGTTCTCAGTTTAAACTCCCAAGAGGTTATTGATTGGCCCAGTTTCAGAAGAGATTTTATGTGAGGCCACCTCGTAGGTTGTGGGTCAGTTATGGACTGGCTCTTCTTGACCAGGCAGGTATTGCCAAGGGTGGTGGGTTCACATAGCACAGCATGTGGGTGCCTTGGGCTAACTCCTCTGTACAGGGGGGCTGCGGTTTCCCATAGGATGAGTCTGTACATGGCAAGTACTGTAATTGGTTAATACGGGCAAGTTCTAGAAATTAAGTCATTGCAAGTGTTTCAGATTTTCTGCTTCTTTCACATGCTCTGGTGAAATGCTCGTTAATAATTAAATACTGATAAAACCGATATCTAGAATTGGGTATTATTAATCTCTTTAGTAGTCATCCACCTGTAACTGAAAAAAATTCATGTGCTATCAACCCAAATTAGGGCTTTGGGCCATTAGATATCTAATACCTCGAGCTTTAGGATGGGCAAACAGAAATTGATAGATTTTAAATGTAAGTAATATAAAAAACACATACACATAGGCAGATTAATGAATCTTTAATGAGAAAGCTATAGTAGTTATCTCATTTAGGTTGTTTCTTGTTATTTGCTTTTTTTTTTTTTTTTTTTTTTTTTTGTGAGGAGGATTAGCCCTGAGCTAACATCTATTGCCAATCCTCCTCTTTTTGCTGAGGGAGCTTGGCCCCTAGGCTGCCATCCGTGCCCATCTTCCTCTACTTTATATGTGGGACGCCTGCTGCAGCATGACTTGACAAGCAGTGCGTAGGTCTGCAGCCAGGATCCGAACCTGCAAACCCCAGGCAGCTGAAGCAGAGTGCACGAACCCAACCACTATGCCACTGGGCTGGCCCGCTTGTTATTTCCTTTTTTATATCCAGAAACAACCATGTGTGCTGCTAAGAATTCACTGTTCTGCAATGACACAGCTCAAGTTGAAGACAAAGAGGTCCTCTTTGCCGTTGTGATACTTAATTAGTGACATATTTAAATACCACAAAGCAATCTTTTGCCTAATGCATTCCCATTTATGGAATAAATTATAGATATTAGATAAAAGCCCCTCTGGTACTATAAGTGAAATCGCTTTTTAATTTTCTAGGGAGACTCAGAGAGAGTAATGATAATTACTGGACCAAACATGGGTGGAAAGAGCTCCTACATAAAACAAGTTGCATTGATTACTATCATGGCTCAGATTGGCTCCTATGTTCCTGCAGAGGAAGCAACACTTGGAATTGTGGATGGCATTTTCACGAGGTAAAAACATTAGTTCTATTTAAATATATTTCTGAAAATAAATCAAGCCCACATTGTCACATGAATTTTCTTTTTATGTACATATTTAGATGAATGGATTTGCTCTTAAAATATTTAGAGTTTAGGAGCTTAAGGAAACCATTTCATCATAGATATTAATACCCAAAGAGACCTAGGGGATCATTTTGTCCAGTAGTTTTCAAGTTATTTTTAGTTACTGGGTTCTTACTTTAAAGAAAATCTTACGTTAGAAGATCAATATTTAGACAGATGAAAGCAGATCTGTTCTCCCTTAATCAGAGGTGGACGGCTTGGAGGCTTTGCTGCGAGGCTCTGTAGAGCAGCCTGAAAACTAGCCCACTCTCCTCCTCTTATAGGTGGGGAACTGAGAACAGACCCAAAAAGGCACTGGCCCAGGGTAATTTAATTCATATTCTCTCTTATTCTAAGAACATTACGTGCAGTTGCCAATGTCTTGCCCTCAATATGTAAACCTAAATTGCATGCCCTATTAGGAATATGAGTGAAATATCCTGGTCTCATTAACTAGAATTCATATTTTAACCTATTTAGTCAGATATATCAGTTCTTAAAGTACTATTTATACTTCTTATATGTACATTTTTAGAAAAAAGTTGTCTATAGTATATAGTCAAGCTATGTGTGTAGAGTATCTGATCTGTTCTCCAGATTCATATTTATTTAATATTGACTCTGGAATCACATCAGAATATATCACATGCTAACATTGATGTGCCTGAGTGGACGTGAAAATACTTTAAAGCTTGATTTTTAATCTGAGAGTGAACAAAGCAAAGCAACCTAAATTCTGTTTGATGCCATATCACCAAACAGGTGTTATTTTGATCTCCATGTATTTGTAAATTAACTCAATATAAGAAATCTAAAAGGCTGGCCCCGTGGCTTGGCGGTTAAGTGCGCGCGCCCCGCTACTGGCGGCCCGGGTTCGGATCCCGGGCGCGGATCCCGGGCGCGCACTGACGCACCGCTTCTCCGGCCATGCTGAGGCCGCGTCCCACATACAGCAACTAGAAGGATGTGCAACTATGACGTACAACTATCTACTGGGGCTTTGGGGGAAAAAAAAGGAGGAGGATTGCCAATAGATGTTAGCTCAGAGCCGGTCTTCCTCAGCAAAAAGAGGAGGATTGGTATGGATGTTAGCTCAGGGCTGATCTCCCTCACAAAAAAAAAAGAAAGAAAGAAATCTAAAGAAACTTTCTTTAGTTTTTAAAGTTGTAATTAATCTTCTATTTTGTAAGAAAAACATACTAGGTATTTTATTTTGGTTACATTATTAAGAAGAGTGACAGAGAAATTTAATAAAGAGAAAAAATAAAAAGAAAGAAAGGAAAAAACATCTTGGGCAATGTAAGGTGATTTATCTGGAAGGGAATCTTGTTAGTGAGCAGAATATCAGGAATGTTTTTAGACACAAGTAATAGAAAAGAAAATAAGAGTTTAGTTTCTCATAGAAGAAGAAGGCTTGAAGGAGGGGGCTGCTTCTGCTGTTTCAGTGGCTCTGCAAGTTGTTGGCCTTTCCTCGTAGTTGCAGGGTGGTTGCTGCGACTCCAGGTGTCGTATTCATGTTCACATGAGGAGAAGGGGAGAAGGAATGCCAAAGCTTCCCCTTTTTTCCAGGAAATCAGTACCTTTTCAGAGGCCTCCCAGAAAACTTCCATTTATATTTCACTAACCAGAATTGTGTCTTAGGGCCATAAGTGCAAAGGAAACAGAAAGTAAGAATTTGGTTTTGTCCAGCTTTTATAATGGAGTTATGCAAGGGACACAGTGTTTGGGAATGAATTCAGAGGTAACCGGAAAATAGTTTCTGCCACAAGGAATGAACTCAGTGATAATAACAGCTAACCTTTATGATGGTAACATGTTTACAGTGGTAGTATAATAACATTCTTATCCATGCATAGGCATTATTCTATGCCCTTTATATAAAATACTTTCTATTAAGTACATTCAATGAGAGCAAGTATGAGCCTTCTGAAAAAGGACTAACCACACTAATTTTAAGAAATTTGGGCACTTATCCTTTCATTTTCATTTGTTCATTTGTCCAACATACACTAATTTAGCATCTAACACATGACAAGCACTGGGAATACAAAGCAACTGTAGTTTCTGTTCTCATGAAGCTTACCTGGTGGGGAGAAGATCAGCATTAACCAAAAAATTGTATAAAAAATGTAAAATAGCAGCTGTGACAAGTGTACAAAGACCGTGTACAAGATGCTGTGGCAGTCTAGGATACTGGGTATGATCTGGTCAGGAAGGTCAAGGGAAGGCTTCCCTTAGCAAGCAACTCTTGAGCACCCATCTGAAAGATGAGTTAACTGATCAAAGGAAGGAAGAGCACTTCAGACAGAGGGAGCAGCACTTGCAGAGGTCCTTTTGCATTAAAAAAAAAATGAGGAGAGTGACGTCAACGTCATGGCGGAGTGTGTTTTCCTGTAAACTCTTCCCCTGATAAGATACAAGAAAAGGAACAGTCACAGACCAACAATGGACTCCTAGACAGCGAAAAGCAAGATTGGAAAGATCCACACTACCGCACATCTGAGAGAGCAACGTGCTGGGCCCCCAGAGGAAGTGGGGAGGGGTAAGGAGAACTCCTCTCCCTTCCCATCAGATCAGCGATCCCGGTCCGCCTGGGTCCCAGAGAGTGGGGGGTGGCCCTCTGTGGGGAAACTGTAGCTCTTTGGGCTATCTCAGCCAGTGGGAAACTCCCACACAGAAGACTCAGAATTGCTACAGGGGTACCATCAACATCTGAGCACCCCATGAGAGCAGATAACGAGGGGCGAGCAAGAAGCCCCCCACGCCAGGGACTCAGTGGGCAAAAGAGAGAGCCTCCCCCCGCCCGCATGCCGGACACTGCAGCTCAGCCGACCAGACCAGACCAAGCGGCCAGTGGATCGCAGCAAACAGCTGGGGCAGAGTGCAGGGGCCTCAGAATACATAGCCCTTAACCCCCACATGGTGGCAGCTGGTGGAAATTGCAACCACATATTTCCAGGATGAGGAAAAATAAAGCCAGTACAGGAACCACAATGCAAAGGTACATGAAATCACCAGACCAGAAAGAAAATGACAAGCACCCAGAAACAAACCCTGAAGGCACAGAAATCCATAACCTGAACGACAGAGATTTCAAAATAGCTATCATAACAAAACTCAACGAAATACGAGATAACACAAACAATTCAATGAGATTAGGATTTTCTTCACAAAAGAGATTGAAATCATAAAAACCAATCAGTACTGATGGAGATGAAGAACACAATGGAGGAAATAAAGGAGAATCTGGAATCTTTAAAGAATAGAGCTGACAATATGCAGGAAAGCATTAGCATTTTAGAGGATAGGAATACAGATATGCTCCAGATGGACAAGGAGAGAGAACTAAGACTAAAAAGAGATGAAGACATCTCCAAGAAATATCTGACTGTATGAGGAAATGTAACATAAGAATTATAGGTATTCCTGAGGGAGAAGAGAGGGAAAGAGGAACAGAGAGCCTAGTCAAGGAAATAATAGCTGAGAACTTCCCAAATCTGGGGAAGGAGCAGGAAATACCAGTAAGTGAAGCTGATAGGTCACCTAAATAATTCAACAGGCAAAGGCCCACTCCATGCATGACATGTAGTGGTAAGGCTGGCCAAAATCAATGACAAAGAAACAACATTAAGGGCAGCTAGACAAAAACAAAAAATAACGTACAAAGGAACTCCCATCAGGCTCTCAGCGGATTTCTCAACAGAAACTTTACAGGCTAGGAGAGACTGGAAAGATATATTCAAAATACTGAAAGACAAAAACTTTCGGCCAGGAATACTCTATCCACAAAAATTTCCTTCAAATATGATGGAGAAATAGTAACTTTCCCAGATAAACAAAAGCTAAGGGAGTTCATGGCCACAAGACCCCCCACTACAAGAAATACTCAAGAAGGCCCTCAGGCCTGGAAAAAAGAAAAGAAAGGGAATATAAAGTTTGGAGCAAGGAGAAAAATAGGTAGACAAAATCAGAAAAATAGTCGATCTTTACCGGCATAGGTTAGCAACCACTTAAACACCAAAATCAAAGATCAAAGGAAGGAATTCACCAAAAATAAATATAACCTCATCACTGTAAACACATACCCACAACACAAGATGAAATAAGGTATAACAAGAACGACTTAGAAGGGGAAGAGGAAAGTGATTGAATTGACGTAGTCTAAGGAAATAAGAGGCCGTCAGATAACGGACTATCTCATACACAAGATTTTTTAGACAAACTTCAGGATAACCACTAAACAAATAATCAAAACAAAACCACATATGATAAACAAAGAGAAAACTAGAAGAGTCATAAGACAGAACAACCAAACTGAATTGG